ACCATGAGATATCATCTCACTCCAGTAAGACTAGCAAAATTTAACAGAACAGCAAGCAACAAATGCTGGCGAGGTTGTGGAGAGACTGGAACCCTGATTCACTGTTGGTGGGAGTGTAAAATGGTGCAACCACTGTGGAAAGCATTGTGGCGCTTTCTCAAAAAGTTGCCATTCTTTCTTTTTAAATGTAGGACTGTTTTTGATGATAGAAGAATTAAACAAACAAGTTCTTACTTCCCCCCTTGCTGCTGTGTGCTGTTGAGTTGGCATTGACCTTGCCGAGGCAGTTAATCTCGCGGGAGGTAATTGCCCATCCTTTCTCTTGTACGGCAGTTGGTGGGTTCAAACCCACGCTTTCAGGATTGCAGCGCAGCTTCTTACCACTAGGCCAACAGATCGTTCCTACAGTGGGGTGCTCTAATTTGAGTACACTGCAGGGTGATGATCCCTTTCTCAGTAAGATATGTGAAAAAAAAACCCAACAAAACAAAAAAACAACCACAACCCCCCAAACCCCAACAAACTCATGATTGCCAACTTGGAGAAGTCACGTATAAACACTTATCTTGTGTATCTGATAATTGTTTCCAGTCAAATGAAAAAAACGTTCTTACTCTGAAATTTCTACCTTAGAAGTATAACTGGGCTTTGTTTTGTTCTTGTCCTGATTTTTAAATTAGTTCTGTGGGTTGTTCTTGTGGTTACATGCTGCCCAGTTGACTACAACACACCTGCCCTGTCCTGGGCCAACCTCATCGTCTCTGACACACCTAATCCATTGCCTCAGTCACTGTGTCAACCCATCTCATCCTGGATCGTCCTCTCCTGCACTGTCCCTCCACCTTTCCAAGCATGACATCCTTCTCCAGAGACCGGCTTCTTCTGCCATCATGCCCCAAATATGTGAGACAGAGCTTTAAAATCCTTGCCTCCCAGGAACAACCTGTTTTTCCCTCTTCTGGACTGACCTGTTTGTTCTCTTGGCAGTCCACAGTGTGTTCAATACTCCTCCAGCACCACAACTCAAAGGCATCAATTCCTATGCTATCATCTTAGTCATTGTCCAGCTCTCTGACGCATAGCAAGCAATTGAGAAGACCATGGCCTGGATCAGGCACACCTTAATCTCTCTATTGATATGGTTGCTCTTTAGTGGAGTGGTCCCTGATGGTAGGTTTTCCCAGTGTAACTCATCTTTTGATTTCTTGGCTTCTGGTTTCAAGGGTATTGTGGCTTAGTGGCAAGGAGCAGAGCTGGCAACTCAAAGGCAGGCAGTTCGAATCCACTAGTAGCTCTGTGGGGAAAAGATGGATAATCTCCTGCTGTGTGATGTAAGACTCCAAACGCCTGCTTTGAGTTTGTTCCAACTCCACAATAGTGATTGTTATTGTTGTTGTTGTTGTTAAGTGCCATTGAGTCATAGGTGACTCATAGCGACCCTATGAACGAAAGTCCTCAACACTTGCATGACTTTCATCCTCTCTCCAGGTTCATAGGGTTTCTGGAGGCAAGCTATTACGGAAGTGGATGCCACTCCTGCTTCCAAGCGTGTTTTACTCAGGGAGCTCCACCAAACACTGTTTACCATGGGGTGACCAATATCACATTTGGCACATCAGTGTCAGTGTTCAGCTTCACAGCAACCACAAGTTACCTCTGTATGGCAAGTGGATAATCACAATAGTGATTAGGTATATTAAATACAATGTATATAAATGGATGCCTGAAGCCCAACATGAATGAAGAATTATGTAGAACACAGTGCATATGAATGGAACACAATGTAAATAAGGTCTTGTATGACCAATAAAAAAATAGTAATGAAAATCTAAACTTATTCTGGAGGCCACTTATTCTTTCTGACCCATGATCTTGGTCTGCACATCTGATACTAGATGCTGGATAAGAATTTAGCTATAATAAACAGAAACCCCGACTTAAACTCCCTAATGCTAAAAATGAGAACAGATTGCTCCAACGTTTGAGAAGTAAGTCCCTGGGTCGTTCTGCATTGCTGCAAGCTGGTGAAATTGACCCTGTGACTCCTTACACAATGGTGTGTGAAAGGACCAGTTATCAGAAACTCAGTTTCTGGTAAAGTACAGTTAACCCCACCCCACCCACTTGAGTAGTTTTTTAACAAACAAACAACCCCCACCTGTGGTAAATCCCACCCTGGTTGATCAACTGCCATAAAGTGGAATTCTTGTTCTTTTTAAGGGCACAAGGGATTAATTTTTCCACATTCCTGTAACTGAAGTAACCGATAAGATTCAAATATGTTTCCAAACCGTTTCCCTGAGCTATGGCTAGCCAGTTGAAGGTGGACAAATACCCAAACTACTGTGGATGGCCAATCATGGCGTGCATGGTTGAGTAGGGGAGTAGCAGAGGTATAAAAGGAGGGGCAGACATCAATTCGGGGCTCTCGGCTGGATGCTGCTGTGTCAGCACGTGGGAGCCCTGGTTCGAACTGGAAATAAACTTTGTTAATTCAGCTAATTGGCTCAGTGATCTTTTTGGGGAACTCGCTCCGTTACAGTGTGAAGCACTGTCTTGTTCTACACCATCTCTGTGATCAGCTGTGGCTCAGACCTCTGTTAACTATGGACTTTGCATGGGTGGGTTTTTTTGGAGATTGCCAGGCCTTTCTTCCTAGTCTAGAAGCTCCACTGAAGCCTGTTCAGCATCATAGCAAAAGGCAACCCTGACAGATAAGAAGCAAACATGCACTGCATTGGCCAAAAATTCAACCTGGTTCTCCCAAATGAAAAGTGACAATTCTGTTTTCATTTGAACCTCAATGTCATCAGGCTCTAACTCTTGGCTCTATTTCCTCTCGGTGGACACCATTGCCAGCCTTGGCCATTTTATTACAACACAAATGGAAGGGAGGATGGATTTTATGTCGGAGTTGAACTATGATGGCCCTGTTTGTTCTGGCATGATTGTTGGATAATGGAATACATTAACTTAGTCCATGGTATATTATTTTTTAAAATTTTTTTAGTCCAAGATATATTCTTGATCCTCTTAAGCTGGTGATATTGTCAGCTTCCTTAGAAGCATATCAGCATGCAGTGGGGTATGGCAGTTCTCCCAAGAATACTTCCATTAAATGGGGCAAGGATATTGGCTCGTGAAACTCTAAGTGGCTAGGTTCACATGGTTTATCAGCTGCAAAAACATGGGTGGATCAGGACAAACTGACTATTGGAAGATTAAATATTCAGTGTGAAGTTTACTGATGGTGGATCAATCACATTGCTTTTGGAAGAGGATACTGTAGTCATTGGATTGCTTATGGATTATTGTCTCAATCTCAGCAGGTATCGGACAGCATGATAATAAATTCTCTCCTCTTCTTTGTTCTAATTCCCTCTTAGGAAAATACCATTTCATGGCAAACCCATATATCCAAATCACACAGAACGAAAAGCTATGATTTTATCATCTTATGCTGGAATCTTAATGGTAAGGAAAAGAGCAGTGTTTGCATATATGCATATTTCACATAAAAATATGTGTTGCATTGGGAAAATCTGCTGTCAAGGGCCTCTCCAAAGTGCTAAAGAGTGAAGGTGTCAGTTTAAAGACAATAGGTGCACCTGATGAAAGCCATGGTCTTTTCAATTACTTGCTATCTGTCTGAGAGCTGGACAGTGACTATGGATGACAGGGGAAGAATTGATGCCTTTGAGTTGTGGTGCTGGAGAAGAGGGCTGAACATCCCATGGACTTCTAAAAGAATAACAAATCTGTCTTGGAGAAAGTGCAGTCGGGGTGCTCCTTGGAGGCAAGGATGGTAACACTGCATTGCACATACTTTGAGCATGGTGTTAGAAGGAGCCATTCCTTGGAAAAAACAAAGTGCTTGGAAAGGTGGGTGGTCACCGAAAAAGAGAGAAAGACCCTCAAGGGGATGGATTGACACAGTGACCGTAACAATGGGCTCAAGTGTGTCAGCTGATGACGAGGGCACAGGTTAGGGCAGGGTTTAGATCCATTATTCACAGGGTCGTTTGGCTCATTGTCAACTCAAGGGCACAGAACAACAGTATGCATAGTCTGTAGGGAGTTGCCCTGCTAAGCCAAAGGTGGACCCTTGCTAGCAGCAGAAACCCACCAGAGCGTCCAGGAGAGGAAAAGGGATGACCTCTTTCGGTGCTATTTATAGTTGGGAAAACTCAATGAAGGGTCAGCTATGAGTCCCTTCTGACTGGACAGCAATGGCAGCTGCATTTTAATATTTATCCCATTTTAAGTCAATTTTATAGAATGTTTAAGATTTCACATAATATTTTTTTATTACGATAATAAAAGAGCGTGGCTTTTTAAACTATTGTTGTATGCCATTGAGTCAGATCTGGCCCACAGCTGACCCTCCAACAAGTTTCCAGAGGCAGTTTAATCACACAGGAGGGGGTTGCCCATTTTTCTTCCATGTTTCAGCTGATGGTGGATTTGAACCACTTGTCTGGGGGAGGCAAAGCCATTCCTTCCCACTACGCCACCAGAACTTATGAAAACATTCATTTTAAAAGAAAAAAAGCCAAAGGAAAGCTATAACAAATAACTCTTATCTGGATACTATGATTTACTGTTACTCAGAAGTTGTTTGTTTCATGCCATTCAGGCAGAGAATTAGACATATTGGAGCTATAACTTTTAATTCTTATTTTTCATGGAAAAAAAACTATAATATACTAATACATTTTGTTGTTGATAACAGAACAGCATCCCAATTGAAGAAGTGTTTAAAATTTATGGAGCTGCTATCTCTACCAATTCTGATAAAACCAAGGTAAGAAGGGACTGGGTTTCAGAAGGGATTTCTGGAGAAATTGTAAATATTTTCAGGTCCCTGTTGTTAAAGAACAGAATTGTCTATAAGGATATATAAAGTTAATGTAGGCGTAACTTTCTTGGGTAACAAATGTGTGTAAAACACCTTTTTAAGCTGTGTAAGGCTGGGCTGTGGCATCAAAGAGCACTAGTGTTAGAGTCTAGATTCTGCTCTGTTTCTGATTAACATAGTATCTCGTTTACACTTTTGGAAATAGCTCTGTGAAAATTACTGTCGCTTCTAAAACTAGGGCAAGCTGTGCAAAGTTCATTGTCATGGTAGATTATGCGCTTTGCTTTTGCCACATTTCTCTTTCACATATGGCTACTCAGCAATCATGAAAGTGTAAGAGAAGCAGTGACCTGGGAGCCCAGAAACCTGGGTTCAAGTCCTCACTCTACTGTTACGAAGCCCTAGATATATCATCTTCCATCTCTGGTTCTTCATGGAGGAAGCTCTGATGTCCTAGTGATTAAGTGCTCTGTGGCTAACCCAAAAGTCAGCACCTGGAAGTTATAAGAGATCTCGTTACATTAGTTAAGGGAGAAACTGTAAAAATCTAGTTCAAATGAAATTAGTGAACCCTTACCTTTTTAAGTGAAGAAGCCCAGATACTGTAGTGTTGAGCTGCTAATTGAGATGCCAAGTGGTTCAAATCCACCAGCTGCTTTTCAGGAGAAAGATGAACTAATCTGCTTCCATAAATATCCTCAACCTTGGTAATCCAACAGGAAGTTCTGCTTGTCCTTCAGGTTGCTATGCATTGGAATTGGGAGAAGGTAGACTCCAAACTCCAGTCTTGACAGAGTGTCAATGAGGAAAAGCTGTAAACATGGGTGTCTGAGTAGCCAGATGATGCAGGTTTATTTAAAGTGGACAGGACAGACAGATGTGCAGTTTAGAGGTGGTTGGGCCAGTCCCTCTAACTTATCATCCAATGATTAGGTTATTCATGAAACAGACTTCATGATTTAGCACTTTTACTGCTCTGTTAGAAAAGTTAAGATCATTGCTTGAGTCAGAAGCATCTTAGTCTTTAAACTGTCATCATTGCTCTTCAGTATTTTGAAGATGTCCCTGCCAGTGGACTTGCCCAATGCATATCTCTTTGTCTCCCGACTGCTGGTACCAAAGGTGTTTATTGTTGATCCAAGCAAGATGAAATCATTGCCAACTTGAATCCTTTCTCTGCTTCTTATGATGTTGCCTGTTGGTCCGGTGGTGAGGACCTTTGCTTTCTTGATGTTGAGATATAATCCATGCTGAAAGCTGTAGTTTTCAAGAAAAAGCTGCAGTTTGTAAGAATTGATGTCTTTGAGTTGTGGTGTTGGAGAAGGGTACTGAATATCCCATGAACTGTCAAAAGATCAAACAGATATATGTCTGGGAAAAAGTGCAGCCAGAGTGCTCCTTGGAGGCAGAGATGGCATTGCTTCCTCTCTCATACTTTGGGCATGTTGCTGGGAGAGGTTATCCCTTGGAAAGGGACAGCATGCTGGCAAAGGTAGAGAGAGGGTCAGTGAAAGAGGGGAAGGCACTCAATGAGAAGAATTGACACAGTGACTGCAGGCATGGGCTCAAGTGTGTCAGAGATGATGGTGATAGGGCAGGGTTCAGGTGTGTTGTTCATAGGGTCACTATGAGTTTTCTTCACTCAACAGTACCTAACAACAACAACAATTGCTCAGTTAGAAGCTCTGAGGTGCCGTTGTTTAAACCTTTGACTGTTAACCCAGATGGTTAGCAGTTTGAACCCACCAACTATTCTGTGAGAGAAAGATGGGGTAGGTACTATACTTCTTTGAAGAGCTGCATCTTTGTAAATCCTGTTGGGTGGTTCTGCTTTGTCATCTGCAGTCACTGTGTCAAAATTGGCCCCAAAGCAGTTGCTGTTACATTGTTAGGTGTGATCAAGTGGAGTATGACTCATAGTGACCCTATAAACAACCAATTTAAATGCTGTCCTACCCCTTGCCATCTTTACAATCTCTGATGTACTCAAACCCATTGCCACAGTCACTGTGTTAACTCACCTGGCTGAGGGTCTTCCTTTCTTTTAGTTCCCCTCCACCTTCCCAGGTATATTATCCCTCAGAACGAATAGCTTCTCCCAGCAGCATGCCCAAAGTATGTGAGACGAAGCTCCATTATCTTTGCTTCCAAGGAGCACTCTGGCTGTATTTTCTCCAAGACATAATCATGTGTTTTGTCAGTCCATAGGATCTTCAGCTCCCTTCTCCAGCACCACAGTTCAAAGGCATCAATTCTTCTTCTGTTACCCTTGTTCATTGTCCAATCTCAGATGCACAAGTGACTGAAAAGACCATGTGAAGTGCACCTTAGTTCTCAAACTGACATCATTATTCCTTGATAATTTGGAGAAGTTCCTGGCTACAGACTTTCCCACTACAATATATCTCCTGATCTCCTGACTGCTGGCACCAAGTATATGGACTGTGGATTCAAGATGAAGTCGTTGATAGTCTCAATCCTTTCTCCAGCCATCATGATTTTGCCTATTGGTCCAGTGGTGAAAATTTTTGTTTGCTTGATTTTGAGCTGTGACCCATATTGAAGGCTGCCATGTTTAACCTTCTGCACCAAGTGCATCAAGTCTTCCTCATTTTCAGCAAGCAAAGTTGTGTCATCAGCATGAAGGTAACTGATGAGTCTCTTCCCAATCCTGATGCAAAATTTTCTTTATCGACTCCAGCTTCTCAAATAATTTGTTCAGGTTATAGATTAAATAGGTATGGAGAAAGGATAGAACCCTGACACACACCTTTCCTGGTTTTAAACCGTGTAGTGTTCTCTTGCCCTGTTCTCACAACAGCCTCTTGGTGAAGGTTTTGCATGAGCACAATTAAGTGCTCTGGGATTCCTGTTTTATTACAATGTCAGCCACATTGTTGTGATCCACAGTCAAATGCCTTGGCAGAGTCAATAAAGCACAAATAAACATTCTTCTGGTGTTCTTTGCTTTCAGCCAGGATCCGTCTGATATCAGCAATGATATCTCCGGTGCCACGGCCTCTTCTAAATCCAGCTTGAATAGCAGGAGAGTTGTTTGTGTGTTTTTCTTTTTCTGATCATTATCACTTGGTCCTCACCTTACAATCAGTAACCAATCTCAAAAGCCCAGGCAGATAGACAGACTGCATAATGACCAGCCCTCAGTAGAAAAGCCTCACAGATGGAAGTTTTCCATAGAAGACCTATTATCTGTCTATTGCTACAAATGTGAGTGTCAGCTCATCCCAGATGCATAGATGAAGGCAGTTTGTCTAACAGGTAAGCAATAGGATCATAGAGCTAGTTGCCCAGATTTAAATCCCACCTCTATCCTGAGCAAGTTTTTGCACCTCTGTCGGCCTCTGAGTCACCTTTAAAAGCAGGGGCTATAAACAGGTTTGTTTGGAAATGAAGCGAGTTAGTATCAATAAAGCCCTTGGTGCTTGACACACAGTGATCTCATAATGATAACTAGAACTAGTCTTCTGGTTTGTTATGATGTGCCATTGAGTCAGAACCAACTCAGAGTTGGCCCTTGAGCAGGATTTCAGAGGTTACAAATTGTTGGAAGAGATTGTCCCTCTTTCTACTGTGGGGCAGCTGTTGGATTTGAACTGCCTGCCTCGAGTTCACAGCTCAACTCCTTACTCACCAGGCCAGCAGAGCTCCCTGGCCTGCTGGTATTGGGAGTTACTTGATTTCCTCTTTGTCTCTCTAAGTCGGGATTTCCCAACTTTATCCACGTTTTGAGGTGGCACCTTTCTGTTGTGGAGACGCTCATCCTGGACCCCTACCAGCTAGATGCCATTAGCAGCTTTCTTCCAGGTAGGAGGACCAAAAATGCATCCAGTTGCTGCCACATGTTCCTGGGAAGTAACGAACAGTAGAGGCTGGGAGAGTTGTTGCTGCTAGGCTCATAGTTAACTATACCTCTATGAACTCTACGACCCTATGAATAATTGATTGAAACCTTGCCCAAGCTTATACCATCCTGATAATCTCCACCATTCTCAAGCCCATAGCTGCGGTCACTATGATCACCCATCTCATCGAAGGTCTTTCCCGCTGTCTCTGACCCTGTGTATGGTCACTCTGTATGCTAAGCAAATCATGAAGCTGGACTACGTGAAGAAGAACGTGGCATCAGGACTGGAGGAAGAGTCATCAACAACCTGTATTATGCAGATAACATAATCTTGTTTACAGAAAGTGAAGAAGACTTGAAGCACTTACTGCAGAAAATCACAGACTACAACCTTCAATATGGATCACGTCTGAACATTAAGAAAACAAAAATCCTCACCATTAGACCAATAGGCAACATTTTGCTAGATGGACAAAGATCGACATTGTTAAGGATTTCATTCTACTTGAATACACAATCAGCACCCATGATAGCCGCAAGCAGCAGAAATCAAAAGACATGCTGCATTGGGAAAATCTGCTGTCAAAGACCTCTCCAAACTGCTAAAGAGCAATGGTGTCAATTTAAAGACTAAGGTGTGCCGTGGTATTTTCATTTGAGTCCTATGTATCTATGTACTTTCATTTTATTCCTATGGATGATAAATAAGGATGACTAAAGAGGAACTGAACCTCTTAACTGAGCTGTTGGAGAAGAGTCCTGAGTACACTGTGGACTGTCAAAAGAACAATCTGTGGTAGAGAAAGTGCAGCCAAGGTGCCTCTTACAGGCGAGATGACGAAGCTTTGTCTCACAGACTTTGGGCATTATCAAGAGAGGCCAGCCCTCTGAAAATGACGTCATGGTGAGAAAAGAAGAGGGTCAGCAAAAGAGAGGATGATCCTCAAACCGATGGGTTGACAGTCACTGTGGCAACGGGCTCAAGTATGTCAGAGCTGGTGATGACGGATCACGACAGGACATGGTTCAGCTCTGTCCTTCATAGGGTTGCAACAAGTCAAGTGGACCTGAAAGCACCTAA